GCTTAGCGCGAGATATATCGGGTAGCGATATATCTCGTGCAGCGCAGCGCACAGTTTTTCCGTCGCTTTTAATCCCGCGCTACCAGCGATGCTATTATTGCCTACAATTCAAGCACACGTTGACAGCCGGCAGTCGATTATTTTCCCTGCGGTGAAACATTCGTGCCGCGGTATCTCGTAACCGTAACCAGCGGTCTCTCTCTCTCTCTCTCTCTCTCTCTCTCTCTCGCGTTCGTTAAACACCGCCCGAATTTATGCTTTATGCGATCTGACAGTGTAACGAGCGTGAGCGAAACTTTATCGGATTACAATCAGAATACCTCTTGTGGCTCCGTTGCTTTCGATTCGATTAAAATCGCCAGGGGCTCCTATTATCAAGACTAGTCGTTTTTTCTATATATACATATATATATATTTTTTTGTTGTTGCGGAAGTCATAGCTGCAAAGCAACGAGCGCTTTTATTCAGGAAGCAGTAAACAATTTTGTATTACGCTCACTCGTATTATAAAATTAAATTGTTTAAAGCGCTTTACCCCTTTTCGGAACGAAGATTTATGATACGAGTATGCAAGAATTTATAAATAATACCGAGATTCTCTCCCAGCAAATTTCATTGTCAAGTATCGTACTTGAGAATTTGCGATAACACATTATCGAATCTTTTCGCAACACGCGCACACACACACACACATACACACACAATTGCAGTGTTTGGTGCAAACTACTTACTTCTGCATGAATCGTACATTTGTAATCAGTCTCTGATTCAGAAGCTTCCCAATGCCATTGAGAACATTTGATAAATTCTCCGCCGGGCGGAGTGTACTCGAGATCATTTCCGCATTAACGTGCAAACGTGTCAGGCTGATACTTCGGCGCGGTTTTCGTGATATATGGCGGTGATTGCGCGGTGAGGAATGGCGCGTTGAAATTCCAACGAAGTTTCGTTAACGATGCGCCACGATGGGGCGTCCGACGCGCAAAGAGCGCGAAGTCATTCGAACAATCTCCCCTTACTGTTATCCTTTACGTACCTCCCCCCTTCCCATCCCCCCACCCCCTCCGTCCCGCTCGCGCGTTCTCGGGAGACGTGATTTCACGTTGCCCGCGATTTTACGACTCATGCAACTGAATTATTGTCCTGTAAACGCCGTTGTCCGACAAAGTAATAAATGGTACATCTCCGCGCTTATTCTACACCACATACGAATTTTGCAGTATACTTTCAACGAAGCGTGAAAGATAGATAAGAGATAAACCACACCACTGTCGCGTATTATAAACGATTAAATGATGAGATAAAGTGTCATAAAAATTCTGCCAGACATGTTTTCTGTAAAACAAAAAAAATTGAGTAATATTCTTATATTATTACTTTTGTAAAACACACATACACACACACACAGATATATATACTATATACACATACATATAACAAATTGCATTCAACATGCACTTCGTGCAATGTGTAAGCGAGTCACGCAATGGTCGGCCGCACGCGTAACGAGGTAAAGAAAGGGAAACGTTTAATTAAAAAAATTCCAGGAACAAATTGATTCGTTTCGAGTACGATGTGTTCTCGCAGTTAGACAGAACTATTCGATGCCGCCATCTTTCTATAGCAACGTCGATCGAATAGTTATGAGCCTTTCGCTAAAAATTGCCACATCGCTAAATTATCAGTATATGCAATTCAGAGCATGCAGTTGAAAGCAATAGGAAACGTTCGGCATGAGCTTTTTTTTCCATCCATGATAAGCTCCGCAGAAGTATACGATGTATGCCAATATTGCACACGCGATAAAGGATATTGCATTTCACCGTTATGAAATAAGCGAGAAGGGAAGAGAGGAGAGGTGGGGGGGGGGAGATGTAGATTTAACCTTCAATTGTTCCATTTCTCTCGGCGCTACCTCGCTGTAACGAACGCGGGAAGATTTGCCGTGTGCGTGAGATCGAAGTCGAGTCATGAAACGCAAGTCTGCAGAGCGCGAAAAGTGACAAAGTTGTTTATAGGTGTTATAGCGATTGTGCATAAAGAATATAAGCCCGTCGATGCAGAACACGCGAAATTCGCGTATATATAATGCGACGTCGCGATCTGCGGTTCGCGAATGGGGTGGTGTGTGTGTGTGTGTGAGCTACGTTATACATGCGCCTTAAACGTACGTGGTACTCGCGCACAAAACGGCAAACTCGACGCGCGGTTTATGTGTGTGCTCGCGCGCGCGCGGGCGCTCGAGATAAATGAAATTCATAAGACGGGGGATGGTATCCTTGAGACGGGACTTTCCCGTGCCGGATGGGCGATAGTTTCGCGCAAGACGAAGCGAGAGAGAGAAGCCCCGGCGGAGTTAGTGTGGGGGTCAGGGGGGCTCGTGCAACAAGTGACGTTATTAGGTTGGCGCTGGAGGGTTGCAAGGGAGAGAACGGAGCGAATCATAATGCATAACTCTTGCCCGTCCTTGTCTTACTGCTCGCGCGCGCGCACACGGCCATTCAACTTCTGCGGAATTGCTTGTGCCAGCTTAAACCTCGAATCGCCCTCTGAAGACCGAAAATTAGCGAATATTCAATGAAGTGGATGTCCGCACGGTCATTTTTGATAAAGTTCAATAATAAAATTATGTTAAAATCTTATTATAATACGAATACATACATAAAATTAATATTAAAGCGCAAAAAAGTCTGTCAATACTGAGGTTTGCCGAGAATATAACTGGAAACTCGTACGTGTATATGTGTGTGTGTGTTTTAACTTTTGTATTTTCAACGTACATTATCGAGAATTGAAAGTCTCTTCGCGGTCAATTAGACTGCAAAAATTCCTCTGTGAAATCTGATTTACAAAGTATAGGTATTTCAGTTTAACAGAAATTGGGAAGACAAAAATGGCGGGGCTCCATCAGGTTTTCGATAAAGATAAGGGTTCACATATCCCACGGTCACATATCGCGTTGCCTTAATCTTCGCGATAAGCTCGGATTATGATATCCACGCGGTGAACTTCAAAAGCTCGTTTGTGCCGCCAGATCGTTGCCAAGTTACGTCGGGCTCATTCGTCCTTGTCGTCCGATACGATAATCGGGGCCGGTCCGAAGACGTGCCCCGTCCCAGAAAACTAAATTTCCATTCCGTTTTCTCGGCGGTGGTGAACCGCGAAAAGAGACCACGTCGCCGTAACGGAGAAGACAAAGAGGCTTTATTATACGAGGAGAGCGATGGAAATTGAGAACGGCGAGGGCGGAGATTGGCAAGGATGCCGGGTGTTCCTCTTGGCGTCGTACGGCAAAGACGACTACCTTATATCCGCAGAACTCGGATTATTACCGCGCACAAGTCGGTTATCCCCCTTTTCTTTTCCGTTATAATAGGTTGAAATGCATTTAGCCGTCTAATCATGCGTCGTCGTTCGATTCTCTATATACGCTGCGTTATTGTGAACGTATATAATACAAGCTCTCCGTAGTTTAACTCGCGTCTTTATTCTTTTATCTTAGAGAGGAATAAAAAAATCCATTAAAGTAAGATTAAAGTTAATATTTACTGTTTAATAGCGTTTTATATTCTTCCCATTTCTCGTTTTCTCATGACTTTAAAGATTTAACGTCATGCGGCGATAGTGATTGAGGTATGGCCCTGCAGATAAAAAAAAAGTAGCTGTGTGATGAGCGTACAGGTATAAAATCTATAACTTGTCGATACGTCTGATGCTAAGTATCATAAAAATTCGATCTCGCCGGAACGAACAAAGGAAGCCTTTCAGTGCCTGAAAGGAATCTTAAAGATATACCGTATGATCGAGGAGTGTGTTCTATACACGTGTAACGTGCGGACGCAGCAGCGAGAACGGAAAAAGGGTGCGGCGGAAAAAAGGAGGGAAATAAAAAAGAAAAGTAAAAAGGAAAACCCAATGGACGACAGGGACCGCCGTCGTGTCGTCAAGCCGGTCGTCCTTTTTCCGCCTCGCGGCCCCCTCTGTCTCTCGGCACTTGATTTCCGTCTTTCCCATTTTCCTCTTTCGCTCCGTATCTCCCGCGGACCCCTTGCCCCCTCCCCTCCCCCCCGCGTCCCGTCCTCGTCTTCACCCCCGGAGTTCGCCATTTTTGTTTGTATTTCGTGGTGATCGTGGACCGGAAACGGACGTCCGCGCCGTGAAAAATGGCCGCCGTTGCGCTTCCGGTACGGGAACGTTCTCCTCCCCTCTTCCTCCTCCTCCTCCCACCGTTATCCCTCCTCGCCTCCTCGTTCTCTGCCCTGAATTCTACCACTGACGCCCTCGTCCCAGAGCGAAACGCATTTCATCCGACCGACCCCCACAGGCGCGGCGCGTTTCTACCTTTCTGCTCTTTACCACTGTCCTGCAGCCCGACTTTGGCCATCGACCCGCGTCCGAACCCGTGACCATTTGACGCAACGCGCGCGCTACATGTGTTCCTGACGTCGCGCAAACCAAGCGTTTTATCATAGTTCCGTGAGCCGTCCAGTCGCAGTGCGCGATTGTAGTAATTGTCACCCGACACTTCCGCGAACCGCGCGAGCTCTGTTATCACGCGCGCTGAGAGAATCCAAATATATACGCACGCCGTGATCGTCGTGCATTTGAATGAATAATAACAAAGCGATCGTAATATCCGTAGAGTAGTAATTCTGCTCGGAAATGTACATGCGCGAATTTTAGAACGGATTAGAACTTTCTCTTTATATATAGCTTTGCGCTGTTCAATTGAGGGGCTTCCTCAGCTCTGCAACAGAGTGGGCTAACCCTACACATTTCGTAACGACGGAAAAATGAACTCTGAAAGGTTGAAGCGATGAACTTTCGGAGTTTATTTTCTCCGCGTTTTATGAACTGTTATATAAAATGCGGATTGGCCCGCTGTTGTGCGGAAGCGATAAGCCCTTCAATTATATTGACCGATTGACTGATCGATCGATTGACAGGGATGACTTCGAATTAAGCAGCTATATCCCTCTAATTTTCACGCTCTGTTTCAGGAAAGTTTCAAGAATGTGTTGAGCTGACTCTATCCGGATATACTCAGGGTTTCGGGAATGGATTCGACATTATTGCTGCTCCTACTGATCGGTAAGCTTTTTGCAAAATGCCGTGCTTCTCGCGAAGTGATTTGGAAAAGAAGCGCGCGTCGGCGTTGACTGTTGGGAGTCGTTAACGTGGGATCTACAATTTGAGACTTGGACTTTCGCTCACGCCGCGGCTATATCTAAAAGTCCCGGCAGAACTTTGGTTGCAAGAGTCCCACTTATTACAAACTTCGGTCCATGCGAACGCTTTCCCCTCCGCAACAATGAGTTATTCCGCAATGTTGAGGGAATAAAACGGTTCGCAAACTGCTCTACCAGAAATTTCTCTCGGTCTTATTTTACAGCTAATAAAACCGTCTCATATTCGTGTAAAGAAAATAGAATTGTTTGCGGAAAAGTAGCGTCGCCGGTATCTGCAAACACGCGAACGGCGAGCTCGTTCGTTTACTCAATAATCGTTTTTACATGAATTGTTCAACGAATTGTTCACGCAATATTGTGACTGTTTCTTATATTCTCTTTCATGATATACAAATAGATACAGATAAAAGAAAATTTCCTCCTCCCGCCTCCCACCTTTATGTCATATCACGAGCAAAAATGGAAACTTTTATATTACCTTTCAAGACCTGAACAAAATTTTCGGGAGATACAATATCGATATACGCGGCCGGTGGATCGGCGATAGAAAGACTGGCGATATACTTTGAACGAGTCTTCGAATGTTCCGTCACAACGGGAGAGCGTAAAGGACGGAGAATAAAATTTTCGCAGTCTCCGTCGGAGCGAGAACGGGAGCGTTTTGGGGGAGAAAGTGACTTCGATTTGACGCTCCGTGAACTTGCAGAATAACCCCGGCCCTTGCCTGGAGGTCG